ACAAATAGCTCAGCCAAATAAACATTCTATTTCCCCCATTCTCCATCCCATGTCTTGCTTGGAAGTGCTGCTCCTGTATTATGAGTAGCAAAACCAGATGTGTGTGCAGGCTGAAATTGCTCCTGTTCAAAATCCAGCATCAGTATATCTGCTTATGTTAACTAATATGTGGGATTATGAAGTGTGGTGCCTGAAATCCCAACATATGGTTACTTTTCCTGTTTAATTCTGGAGGGTCTGAGGACACAGTCAGAGCAGCAGGGTGTCATATCTGTACAGCTCCTAAGAACACCAAGCGATGTCAACAGACTATCAAGAGTCAGCTAGGTAGAGTTTGCACAGGAAAAGAGGAGAGGCTATGTGTCTTCTCTTTAAACTTACGTTTAAAGTTTCTTTTAACTTACGTTTTTATAGTTCTATGAATAATTCCTTTAACTCATATTAAGAAATGCTGTTCTAAATGGAGCTTGCAAGATCGGACTCTTCTTACTCTGTGGAGATTTTACTTGCCACGGTGCAAGACTTGCAAAGAGATGGGCAGAGACAGTTTTCATCATATTTACAGACAGCCATCTGTGTAATCACTTTGTGTAGATAAGAAGTCTAAAGATGTTCTAAAGGAAATTAATCACTTTGATACTTCCGCGCTATTGAAGATTTTAGATGTGGTGCAACATGGATTTTCCTGTTTCAGTTATCATTTATCTTTATACATTTACTGCTTCAGTATCCACCTTTTCATCTCAACTTTCTTCTATCAACTCATCATCTGGGATAAATAGATTTTATTCCACATTCCCAGCAACCTTTTTGGAGCTGTGTCATTTTGAAAGAGAAATAAGAATATTTTTAACATACATGTGTTCTACATTACTCTTTTTAATCACAGATTCTTTAGGCTAATAAAAAGTAGTAAAGAGAATACAAACAGCCCAGAGAAAAACCAGAACCCTTCTGAAATCACCAGTTGGGACTTATCCAGACTGAATTGAACTTTGCATAATGTTGGGGCTGGATTTTGGATAAAAAGCATGAAAATGGTTTTCCATATTTTCTCAGACACATTTTATCACTTCATGGTATTTCTTTTCTTTTCTTTTCTTTTCTTCTTTTTTAAATTTTACTGTATTCATATGTGAGACCTGGAACCTTCTTTTTTTGTGTGTGTGTCTTCCAAGTGTACAAGGCACTGTCGTAGCATAAATGAAAGCTGTTCCTTTTCTTGAGCTTCTCCTTTCATTTCAATATCCTTTCTCTATTTCAGATCTCCTTGATCTACTGCCCAGACCAGCTTGGAAACTCGTCTCTCTACTGGTTATTAATTCTTAATGAACTAGTATTATTTGAAACTAATGTAGAGTACAGCCAGCCTACAATTCCTATTTTTTGCAAACAGTCTTGAAGAAGCAACATTTAATGAGGGTCAGTAGTAAAAAACTCCTAACAGCTTCCAAAATAAGAGAATATCTGGTTTGTTTGGCAAAATTATTTCAAATAAACAGCAAACGAAGTTTTGAGAAGGTGTGTTGTTCCGTGTTTGAGGTATTGAAAGCAAACATGGCAAATGCCTGACAATTGTGAAGGAAAGGCACTAAGCGCAGAAGGCTGGGAAATGTGGTTTCCAACTTCAGAGGAATCATTTAAATTCTTAATGGCAACTCCTCAGATAAGGAGCAAACAGCATTCTTTGAAGGGTAGCCAGCTGTTTAGGACTCAATAATCAGCCTTTTATTTGGCCTGCCTTCTGGAGTTGCTTCTATACCAGATAGTGATGCTGGCAAGAAAAATAAAGAGGTTTTATGTCATAGGATGCATTCTTGTAATAATTCCTGAAAGAGTCCAACATAATTTTCGTTGGCAAAATGTTTGTTGGACATATATCTGTCTGGACCAGGCACTAATGCATTTGTCAGGCATGAAAAACAATTTATATTTGCATGTGGCTTACACTTCATTATTTCCAGAACTGTCATCATGTTACTTTCTTTAAATATTCAGATATGTTTGAGCAGAAATACTAGCAGAATCTCTGAATTTGATCATCTATTAATTCAATTTCACAAATTTGTTCTACTCATCTGAAACCCTAAGGGCCAACAGAGATGGGCAGAGTCTTTTTACCTCTTCATGTTTCCTTCTCTTTTTATACCAGAATAATATGAATGGAACTGATTCTTCCCTCCCTATACAGAGTAACTTCAGTTGTATCGTAAGGAGGCCACACAGCATGAGTAGAGCTCATTCTGGCCCTTAATTAGACTATGGAGGAGGACAGGAACCAAAACGGCAATCATTAGTCCCAAGTCAAAATCCAGACTTTTGTGGAAAGGTGACTTGAACATGTACACTTTTGAAATACATCTCTTTTGTTTTTCTTGTTCAGCAAGAAGAATTTTCATGGATCGGTTTTCACCACTGTTTCCATGTTTAGAAAATATTGTTTATATTGCCAAAAGATCTCAGTTTCTTCTAATGAAAGTGTGTTTCCTTTCCTAAACTTTTCCCTGTTCATATAGACATCCTGGAGTCCTAGACTGATTCACAATGATTTTCGAGGACTATTCTGCTGTCCATCAATGTATTAAACCCAATATATTTAAGAAATCTCCATGTGTCAGTGTTCTCATGCAAGGCAGAGAAACAAATCCTATGCCCAAGTCCTTTAAAGGCTCTTTGCTTGAGGCAAAATTTATTACAGATGACAAAAGACATATCAAAATTTCAATAAAGTTTAAATCTTGGGCTAGGGTTTGCTCTTTGGCCTTCAAAGTTAGTGGCACACCACTATTCATGTATGTATGGCTAGACTTTCTTCCCTGACAAACTAACACAGACTTGCTCACAGTGTGTATTGGAAAAAGTCCCTGCTCCATGCGATCCCACAGTTGTGTTCAGGAGTTCCCTGGGAAAGTGCTATTTGGATCAGGCTAAAACTGTGCCAGGGAAAGGACAATCAATTACATATATATAGGTGACCATACGTATTTTCTTAAGCCCATGTCCTGGTCGGTAGTTAGCACCTGAGGCAGTCTTAGGTCACAGTCCACAGCAGAGTTCTCAGACTGTTGGTGGGACAATGGTGCAGCCCTTCACGAAAACTCCTTGCCTCTCCACACGTCACATGGACTTATGATAGGAAGAAATCCCTTGTTTCCCACTTGCTCTACTATCTTACTACAAACACAGTCTAACATTTTGAAACAAAACAAGAAATTCTTTTGCTATTCTGCTGTGAACAAACACGTATGACTCCTGAAAAGTAATCTTCCCTTAACATAAGCTTTAACATAAGTTAAATTTTTGACATCCTTCTGATTCCTCAACAACGCATGGTGTCCCTATTCAGTACGGAATAAACAGGAGAAAAAAGACACTGGATTTGTTAGAAAATTCAGTCATCTTCATTCACCCTCTGAGTAATACTCCTAGCATCTTCTCCAATTTTCATTGTAATTTCAAGAGCTATTTCTAACTCTGTCCTTTGGCATTTTTCCTCACTTGAAAACTATTTGTCCCATCTTTTCCTCACCTTTTTGAACATCCTCTTCTACTGATGTTTAAGGCCCTGCATTATCCACTTTTACACTGCTGGTTTTACTTTTTGTACAAACACTTTGAGTCTCTGTTTTGAAAACATTTCCTTTACTTATATTTATTCTTTGCCTAAGAGTGCCTCAGAATGGGTACTCTACCTTCCTGAATCTGGGGAAATGGCGTACCATAGGCCATGCCAGGCACAGCATTGCTGGAGGCAATGGAGGACAGAGCTATCCTTTGTGTGCTATGGGACAGGCCTTGCTTTATGCAGGAGCTAAACTCATACAGATTGCTTGCAAATGTAGCTTTTGCACTTCTACACTATACAGTAGTGCCCTCTGACAAAACCCAGAGGACAGGGCACAACTATGTGTCCCATCTGGGCCGAATGAGTAAATTGCTCTCACTTCCATTTCTCTGGAGGTCCATGGGGAATGGAAGCAATCAGCATTTCTGACAATAAAGTTACTTGAATTTAAAAATCTGAATACCAGCCTAGTTTCACATGTTATCTAGCATTGCACTGTCTGTTCAGATGAAGCAATGATTAAAAAAAAATATAAAATTAAACCACTTAAGTCATCCATATCTCTTGTATCTCCAAAGTTGTTTATTTTTTGGTTTCTTTTTTTTTTTAATTAGCAGTTTCCTACTTTGTTATCTTAAAAAAAAGGAAGAAAAATATACTGGAAAAAGTTTCTTTTTTTTGTCTTCTTCAAACTATATAAATGGTGTGCTGATTATGACGATGAATCAAGGCTGTCCAGTACCTAACACTTTGTTTTGTGTTTTATGTCCTCACAACAAGATCCAGAATTCTATTTTCCCCCTTGATTTACACTGATTTTTTAGTCTGAAAATATTAGATGATTTAACATTTTTGGTTTTTTCTGCCCACATCAGTTGTTTCATTTTTATGCTTCTACGGTAGAAATCCTTCTAGTTGTAATGAACAATCCATATCCTTTTTCCATTCAATCAGATTTGAGTTCTGATGGTCTCAGATATGCTAAAAGTTTTATATTTATATTAGGGGACCTAATAAATGCTTATAAATATCTGAAGGGTGGGTGTCAGGAGGATGGGGCCAAGCTCTTTTCAGTGGTGCCCAGTGACAGGACAAGGGGCAATGGGCACAAACTGAGGCACAGGAAGTTCCGTCTGAACATGAGGAAGAACTTCTTCCCTCTGAGGGTGACGGAGCACTGGAACAGGCTGCCCAGGGAGGTTTTAACTGTTCTACCATACAGCACAATTAATAGAGCAGCCCTTGTTCTGAGGTATTTTAGTTTTATTTTAACCTTCCATCACTGAGAAATCAGTTTTTTATTTTATTTTTACCCTCTTTGTTCACTTTTGATGAAAATCAGTACCATATTATTGTACTTTCTCACATTTAACAAGTGAACAATGAACAATATTTATCACTTAGCAGACTCAAAAGAATTTCAGAAGATTCTTACCTGTAATTCTGTTTTTCATTTCCTATGTGAAATCTGTCATACTGTGAATACGCCCGGTTTCCTTCCCAGTCCATTAACTCAATTCTTAGAGAATATTGCCTCTGACTTGTTATTGCAAAGATAAATTCATTTCCCAGCCAGTGTTCACCTGATGGACTACCAAAACCCTAGAAAAGAGTTGGCAAAACAACTAGATGTAATTATTGTAATTGGTAGAATCTTTATACAATAATAAAATCACTATTATATTTTATCTAACACATTCTAATTACTGATCATAGCTTTCTGTACTCCAGTTTGACTGTCTCTAAAATGAGTCTACTAACATGTACCATATTGGAGTGCTGTGCAGTTCAGCTAATACTTGAAAGGGCAGTTGAGATTATCATTGAAACTCACTTTCCAAATACAACATATTGATAGTATGATGCTGCATTTGCACAGCCTTCAATAAAAATACTGGACACAGTCATTCTGTAATACATTTCATATGGTGTTAAAGCTAGTTATTATTACGACAATGAAGTCAAAACAGAATTCTGCTATACACTATAAAAGGTTAAAAAGAATTTAAATTAGTCTAGAATGTACACTGAATTCAAGTTAGCTGTGGATGATAGCTCATGTTTTAATCTCTAAAGCAGAATGGACCATTCCTTTGCTGTCATGTGTCTGCCACAACTGAAAGAGGGAGGTTTTTAGTTTAAAATCCTTTTCTGTATGTAAGACCTGCTGGACAGGACAGTGTCTGTCCGTGATCCCCAAGTGTAACATTTATTTACTTCGTTCTCAGTCCACTAAACCTCATACTGGCTAAGATTTTGGCTACTACAAAGTTATTTTTTTCTCACCCAGCTGAGGTGAAATAAGATATCTATATATGTTTTGATGTTTTGAAATCTTTAACTTTAGAGTTAGGAGTATTTGTATAGACTATCCAAAGAACAGGAGTGTGTACTGTAACTTTATTTTCTAAGAATGAAAAATAAACAACAGTAAGGTATTTAGGGTATCCAGCTCTTCTCACATTTCAGATGATCTTATTTCCATTTATGCAAATGATACAATTTTTAAACTTGGAAAAATAACAATAAAATAAAAAGTATAAGCAGTCTTCAGAAGGTATTCCTAGACCTATATTTTTGTGTATCTTCTAGATTTTAAAGTTGTTTTAATTTTAGTGAATATTTTGCTACATTAAATTTGAGGTTTTATTTAATGTAATTAATTTAATTTCCTATTTATTAAAATTAATTTTTTTAAAACTACTGATTCTTACCTGAGAAGTCTTAGCTCCATTTTTGTTCTCTTTAAACAATAAAAGTTATTTTAAACTGTAATCTTTACTTGTGAAGAGCTATTTCAACATGATTAAGCTTATTCATATTTCTTAAGCTATGAAAAATCAGAACTGGAACTATCCTAATTTTCTTACAGTGATGTGCTGTGAGTGTTTTAAAAAGACCCTTGTGAAAATTTCCTGATCAAATTAAATGAAAGATTGGATGATGTTCTTGCCTGTGACAAAAATTCACCCTCTGTTACTAAGCTGTGGCTGCCAGATATAGGAAAGAAATAAACAATAAAGCAATCCTTGTTCTGGAATAGATTAGACATTATCCAATCTCAAATGTTTCCCTTTGTCTTTCATTGCAGGAAGTCACTTTCCCTCTGCGCTCCCCATCATGGTACAGACAACATTTGCTTTCAGTTGCAGATCATGAATTAAACCATGTGATCTGCCATTGATTGAGTCACAGTAATTTTCAAGAATAAGTTTGAACATTTCCAGAAAGCACGTATTTTGTAAAGGATGGTAAAATTCAGTGACTTCCTTGGGACTAGAAGTTAGGTAATGGGAAATGTGTCCGTGAGACACATTGGCAAGAAATCGATCCTCTCTACATGACGTTTCAGTCACTCCTAATGTGAGATGGAAGCACTGGAAGTCCAGCCATCTCTCTCTTTCACTCTTTATTGCATTGCCCTGGCTCCACCCCTGACTAGTTGGATCTGTTGAGGAGGAAATCCTGTCTCCCCAGAGGCCATGCGGCAGCTGAGTGAAGCTGCAGTGCAACTAATACTTTGCTCTGGCGATGTATAGCTATACCAGCTGCAAACTTCTAAAGAAATTGAATTTTAAAAAATTAGAACCTTAAAAGTTTATCACTGGATCAAAAAAATACAGAATGGAGGAAGTATTTTGTTGTTCCTACTGGGAATTATGTTAGAAATCGCTCTACTCAGAAGTCATTTTTGTTTTAACTAGGCTACCTACGCAGGTATTCGGAGCTCACTGATACTAGAGGCTGAGAAGACATGCCACATTTAGCTACGCTCAGCTGAGTACACTAGTTAATGTTTCAAATAAGCATGTCTTTTTTTTAGCTCGGAGACCATCAGGTGATACCCATGGACAAAGTGGTTAGCCTGCAAGAAATGAGATTTAGTAGTCTGTGGTGAGTCTCAGAGAAGACTCAAAGTGAAGTATGGGAGTATACTATTAGCTGGCTTTTCCTTTCCCGCACATTGTTTCATTATATCCTCTTTCTCAAGCAGATGATTTCCTACATAAGTCCCTGTAAATACCAGTTGTAGCTAACACTGGTGATATCTTGCTATGACCACATCAGTCTTCCAGTGTAAGCTCCTGCTCCTCAAGTTTTCCCATGACGATACTTCTGCACCTCTCATCTACTGATTTGACGGCATTCACTTGAATATATGGCTTCATACATACATCCTAAAATACAAAAGTTTGTTCCTCACCTGCATAAACCCTGTCTACACTTAGCATACCCTTCTGTAGTTTTCAGAGCACTCGGTGGTTTCTCTCTGACATCCTCTTTCACCACTGGTGATTGCACTTGTCTCAGAGGAAGGGAGAATATGCTCTGCAGTGACTACCTAACAGGCAGTTTGTCTCCCTAAAGTCCAGAAGGCAGAAGTTGGAGCATAGGTATTTATATACCAGCCAAAGTATGTTTCTTTGCAGTCTACATGGTTTCATATTCACAGAAGATATATTCATTGTTATCAGCTGTCTCCCTTTAAAAGAAGATTTTCAGGAATTTCTTTCTCCCATTTTCCTAGTGCTGGCAAGCTGAGGGGACTCCCCTTTGAACAGCGGCTCTATTGGATTATATTTGTCTTATCTTATTTAGATTATAGGCTATTTAAGATGTAATATATGTGGCTTTTTTAACATTGTGTGTTCCCATATGTGTTCTATATAGACTCCAGACACCATATATAATTATTCTGAAACAATAATAATTTTTCTTCTTCACATTTACACTTTCTTCTCCCTCTTCACACATGTTATTACACTACACTGAAAATCTATCACTAAGTGATTTGCTCTCTTGACCAGAGGAAATGAAGTTGTAGCAAAAGGGAACAGAAGGAATATAAAATGGAATATAAAAAATTATAAGGAAAGCCACCATACTAGTTACAAAAAAATGAATCCTATTATAAGGATCTACAGTACTGAAACTCCGATTAGAAATGCCTAGACTACGAATGATTCTTTTGTTTTTCTTGTTAGGAGTAACTTCTTTTTAAACAAACTCCTTGCTCTTATGAAATAGAATATCAAGGAAGTGCAATATAAAACTTATCTCCGAAGCAATGAATGTTCCTATGAATAAGTAATGTATTTTTATTAAACACCTAATATGTCTGGAAAAAGAAATAAACAATCAAACAGGCACTCAAAGCTTTCATAGATCTAAAACAGAGAGGAGCAGTACATTTCTGTTAAGCACAGAGTTGGGAACAATTTCTTCAAGTATAATTTTATTATGCCAAACTCTACTGTTTCCAGCCTGTATTTAGTGTGCAGTTTAGTGCCTCTATTTCAAACCTGAAGAAAGACTTGCATGCTTGCTGGTTTTTCCAGATACTTTGCCTGACTTAATAACTACACATCTTTCCTTGCTTATATCTTACTTAGACTGTTGCTGCTACAAGAGCACTACTAGTTTGATAAGATATGTAAGCTTTTGTGAGCAGAAGGGAATGACATACTGTTAGCCAGAAAAACCTGAAAAACACAATTTAACTTTTTGTTTCCATTCCCGAAGCTGAGGCTGGAAAAGAAAATTATTGTGCCAGTTTTTTTCAGTTTGCTTTCAAGATATTTAGGCTTCAAAGTACATTTCAGAATTTTATCTTCAAATACAAAACATTTTTTTTTCTTTAGTCAAAAAACTTAAGGAAACAAGCTTGTGCAATAGTTATGGTCATCTGTCCTTTATTTTTGTGCAATACTTTTTGAACATTTTTGAGGCTGGGACAGAAATCACACAAAATTGAAAGTTCAACAAGATTTCAGAAGAACTGGTGCCTGGGATGAGTTGCTGCTGGGAGAAATGATGAAGCAGAAGCTCAGCAGTTGGCTATTCCAATTGCCGATCAGAAGGCACAGACCAGCCAACCAAGCACACATGCTGAGCACATATTGCCTCTGAGGACCCTTAGACATATGGGAGAGATCTGAGGGTCATAAAAGGGAAACTCAGGCTATTACAACAAAGAATCTTAGAAAATAATAGGGATGCCGGAGATTATTAGTAGTGAGAATGGGACTTCTGTGCGGGACACAGGACAAAAATCCACAGAAAAGCAGACCTCATTAATTTTGCTTTTCATTAGACAATTCAGCTGTTGCTCAGTAATAAAAATTCAGTACTGAAATCCAAGCATTTTAGTTAACAGAACATTTATGTTTATACTGCTGATCAAATCTGTGGGCTCCCAAGGGATAAGATGCCTTCAGCCTTCCCTAAGACCCTGCTTGTCATCTTCTATGGACAAGGAGTTTGGTTTTGAGAACACCTTAGGGCATAATGTTTAATCTTAAAAGCTAATGTTAGCAGTCACCTATTTCAGACCCATAGCTGTCATTGAACGTGTTTGTTTCCAGTACATACATAGTCTGTCAACACACTCATTGGTTTTCTGCATTCAAATTGCTATAACAAATACTTCTAGAATTATTTGTGTTAAAGTTTTTTACTCAAAACTGAAGGAAGTACATGAGGTGATCCAAGTCATCCTCAGCTATCACATTGTTAGGAAAAAGAACACCTGTATTTCATGAATGTGTTTGTAGTTAACTACATGCTAAATACCTCTGAAACCCAGTGGGTTATAAGCACTT